GAGAGTTAACAAGGTCTCTCAGTACGTTGGCCGAAAGCCACACGTTATGCATTTGGTTAGGTTTAACTATGCTATATAGTTAAACAGATACATTTACCCCTAGGCGGCTTGGCCGCAATAATAGTAAATAAAACACTTCTGGTTTTGAAGCATAAAGTTAAGGTATTAACTATGAGCCCTGGTCTTGGGTTGTAAGTGTCCTTTGGATAAGGAACTTAGTATTAGTGACTCTTTGAGTCGAACGTCTTCCTCTGACGCTAAAGCTACGGCAGCCCCGCTGCATCAGGTCTGTCCGGATATTCCTTGACCAGCTTTAGCTTGGATACGTGTATCACGGGGAACAAGCGATATTAGGTACCTGCCGCTTCCAACTTCACGGCGTGTTCCCCTATCTTTTCACTTACTCGAAACGGTCCGTGCCAGAGATGGGCCTGTATCCTTCTTTCACTCAGTCTAGGTACAGCCACACCTGCGATCCAACTTGGATTTGATGTGGACGGGCGCCTTCGTTGTGTCGAACCGCTCGATCTTGTATCGCACTTCGTAACCGCTCGTTCACTTGGGATCTGGCTTGCCGATAGTATTTCTGGACCTGGTATCGCCATCGTCTTGGGTCTCGGTTTCTCCTCTGGGTGCTACCTACCGGAATGGCCGCTTCCAGAGTGGATCTCGGATCCCGCCCATGTACTAAGTAGAATGGAGTATCGCCCCGGATCCCAGTTCCCCGCTGTCTCTGTCCCAGGAACCGGTTAAGGGCTCGAAATAAATCAGACATAAAGGCTGGCTCACGATCATGCCGAATCATCTCACTAGCCCCAAACCTACGAAGTCACACTCCTCGTACGATTCGGCGATGGTCGGTGCGTTTCTGGACGCGCTAGCCTTGGCTATAACGTATCCGGTAAGCAGATCCACCCAGATCAACAATTCTGTGTTTCCGTTGATGACTTGGTAGCGAGGGGATGTGATCCATGGCTATGATTTGGAACGGGTAAGTCGCTGGGCGTCCTGGCGACTCCCCTTCGATTGTGGGTCTGCCCTCGCCTGTCTCACAATCCACGCATTCACCGATATATCGCTGCACACTCTTGAATAGTCCCCTCCAGTGAAAACATTCCCGGATCCGTTGGTAGTTTCGACCGCTTCCCTGATGTCCTCCTTCTATGCTAGCGTGACAGTGACGTAGGACGTCCTGCTGCAAGGTTTCCTGCATCACCAATCTCATCAATCCGTCTCGATCCCCGCTGACTCGTTTCGTAGGAGGAAAAAAGAAGCGCATATCGTTTAGATCCACTGCATAATCCGTAGCGATAATACTGTAGGATTTGGCGTTTTCCCGACTCAGGTCTCGTACATCCCCCATCAGATACTTCTTTAGTCCCAAGATTCACACTTCTTCGTTCTGTGCTTTGAGAATCCGCTCAATACGGACTCCCTTCACAAATGCTTCATCGAGAATCCGGGGGCTAGATCTCTGGATCTAGTGGTAGCCATAACCTGGACCGTCCGCTTCACGGATCCAACCACCACCACTACGTCTAGTCGGTTTAGCGTGACGAGATCCTGACGCGCGGCCTTTCTCTCCACCTCAACCCCATATTGAATCCGTAAAGCGGCACTTGCCAAGCTGTCCGCACTTGCATTCCAATCTCGCTTGACATGTACCAGCTCGTGGTTCATCCAACCACGCAGGTGAGTCACCGTAACAGATTTAATGCCGGGGCCTTGTGATCAATTTCACATCCCACCTGTCTGACGGAGACCAACACAATTATTTCCTCATCTGCAAGAAAACATTCGAAAATACCCGGATCATTTCGCTGGAGACGTTGCTGGAAACACAGAGTTGAACACCAGCGACAAGGAATAATACCTTCGGCGACGGTGATCGGTACGCTACCTTCTGGTATGGTTTATACCGACATGTAGATGTGAGATTAATTCAGGGCTACATAAAATAATAGCAATGAGATTTATTTTACCAAACACTATTTAATGGGAGTTCATTAATACTCTCACGGAGATCAATTGCTGTGTGAGATAAAACAATTACTCCACACAAAATAATATCAATGAGATTCACTACCGTGACCACTGTAGTGATCTCGATAGCTGATTATTGCACATTCTACTTTCAGGTTTTCTTAATGCTAAGGTCGTGTTCGACTTCACGATATAATAGCTGGATCGGGTCACAAACAGCTACTTTTGACATGAAATTGCACTTTCATTCAAGATATGCAACTCGAACACAAATGTGCACTAGTCGCTGCTTTACTACGAAATGACTGGTTCTCAAAAACGTACCGGGGCTGTTTTTCAAACCAGTCGTCTAGACCCCCTTCCCAATAGTGACCAAACTTTCTCATCTTGCAGAAAAGACAGCAGCCATGACTGCTGCAGCCAAAAAGAAGCGTCAGACTTGGACACAAGAAGAAGAGAATCAGCTATTCAGGATTACCGCTCTCGTAGATATTATCGAAAAAGCGTTTGCCCTCTTGGTTCAAAAGGCGAGGCACTGGGAATGTAGCTGGTAATAGACGCAGTACTCCTTTTTTGTTAGCCTCCAATAGAGCTCCTACAGCCTGTAGAAGCCATAAGTCATCTTCATCGTCGTCTCCAACCATTTAAGAAATGATCCTGCAACCGACAAGCAGGCTATCTACCTCTACTTAGCACTGTGGTGTTACAATCAATTGGTTGGCTACGATTATTGGTGCTGTACTTGCTTTGCACACAGCAATTTCAGCCGGAGCGTTAATTACGCGGTTTGGCAATTTTAAGTTGAGCACGACCTAACATTTTTGGCAAGTCGACCGCAACAAAAAATAAACAGAAAAAATGCGTGTCCGTAGCGAAAATAAATATTGTTCTATCCCTTCAAAGTACCTAAGCCGCTCTTGTCAATAGTACGCGCTTCCCCGACAAGGCCCTAAGATCAGTCCCTAAAGACAGGTCCTTACTCGCAGTGAGTACTTGTCAATTTCCTGTAATCATGTTTCGCGCTACGTATGTTAGTATTTAAGCCATGATTACAGTATACTTAAGCATACTAAGTAAGAAAATAGTACGCCTGGATACTTCTTAAATGCGGGCAAATAATCGTACAGGTAAACTAATAACACGTACAATTAGGGGTGGTCGGGTAAAGTACGAAACGACCGTACCCCGACCAGACCCGAACGTTCCCTGGGTGAAATCCGATTTCCTCTTGTACCCGGCGCCAGTTGTCTGTACTGTTACACAAAACACTGGACGTGATTATTTTTGTTTTGCTTAATTTAACCCACAAAATTTAAAAAAAGAAAAAAACGATTTTAGCCCAAATTGAAAACAGCAAATATTTTATTTTTTCATTTTACAATAATGTCTTGCCGCATTATCCCTACGCTATGGCAAAAGATGGAGACGCTTCCAGCTGGTACTGAGCTGTTTACTCGCGTTCTAACATGCCTCGATGCAGTAAGCATCGCGAGACTCTTGCAAGTGGAGAAACGAAGTCGCAGGAGCGTCCGGAAGCTGTTCTCGACCATCGAAACGATACGCTCTCGTGTGGCATTAGCGTCTTTGTGTTTTTCTCGTCTACGTGTGGAGTTTCAAGCGTATTACCAAGTGCTAGAGACTCAAAACATTCCGCGTTCGAACGATCCTCGTGTACCTCCCCGTGTGTCCCCCTTTGGAGCGAAAGGGGTCAGGTGCGATGAATATTTGCGGCTGGTGAGTGAATAATTAGAGGGTACTAAGTCCTGTTTGGTTCTTGCCTTTTGAGTAGGTTGCTGGAGGAGCAGTGTCATTGAAGCCAGTAGAACTGCCGGACGTGCACGCAAATGGATTAACTGCTCACTTTTTAGCAGCGTCCAATACTGCAGGAAATCGACCAATGCTCATGAACGTGGTGCAAACCAACCGTCGGATTTATACAATGATCACGGTGAAGTTGCTGCAGTCTGGTGATAATCAAGACAGGAATGATACGAGCACTGAGCTGGTGCTACGTAGTTACTCGTACCTCAAGGAGTTTGGGGAATGGAAGACGCCGACACTTCCAGAGAAACACAAACTGGCAGCAGCCAATTTTGGAAGTCACCGAGGTCAATTCGATCTGATCTCGCAGGATGGCAGTGTGGTTTTGGGATTGGAAGTACCGAGGGGTACAGATGCCCAGATGGATTATTATTTGGTGAAACAAGCCACAGTGTCCATTCATATCCAAGAGCTTTTGCAAGTTTATTTTATATCGCTACGGCCGATTAAATCTTTGCCTGAACCTTCGCACCGCGAAGCATGCAACATTTCGATCACACTTCGGTCAATAGCAGGGAAACTAGTTACACGTTGTTGTGTGCCTGGGTATATTACGGTCGAACAGCAACAAGGTGATGGCACTTCAACTGAAAGTAACACACCACGCAACCAATCAAGACAGCGAACTGGGATCGAGAATTTTGAGGTTGTAACGTGTCGAGGCAACTGTAACTCAGACAAGAGAACCAAGGTTAACCTTCCCACTGACCCAGGCTACGCGTGGCTCGAGGTGCGAAGTATGAACGAAGCAGCTTTATCGAGACGGTCGTGTCTCTATTATTACGCTGTAGCGCTTCATCACGGTGCTAAGAAAGTCCCAGGAAGTGGAGATTCGCGAGCGATGCAGTTCAATTGGCTGCCAGGCTTACTCGAATCATTTCCCACACTGGAATCTCGGCAACGGCGATGTCTGAAGGGCAACCTACGCATGATGACTTCGTCGAACGGTAGCATGTTGCAAGAACTGACGCTAGTAGCGCAGAGATTGCCAACAGCGAGGCTAGAACGATATGCAGCTCGGATCGAGTCGTACACAAGACATGAGTCATAAGCATTTCAAGTAATAGATTGTCTGCCGTTGACTGGCGTCCCGAAATCAGACGTCTTGACAAGGAAGGACAAGTTGCGCCCCGTTCGATGTCGTTGAATCAGCGCCATCAAACTTGATTCAAAGGAGACAAGTACTACTTCAAGTGCTAGAGGCAACAACAGTGTAGCTCTCACGCATCATTGAACAACTAAGTGTAACTTTGCAACCACTTCGTTGCTGTAAAAGTTTCGTGCACCTGAAACCGTCAATTGAAGTCGCGCAAAAGTAATATATACCCTGTGTGAAACTGCAGAAGTTTGTATGACTCGAATTAGAATAATCCAATCTGATTTCATCCAAGATATCAAACGGCTACGTACGTGTCATTTCCGCATTTGCTCCATCCAAGACACACGTCTTCTGTCAATCCTATCGCAACCATGTCGAAGGACTTGAAATTCCCGGAAGACTTTATGTGGGGCACTGCCACTGCCTCGTACCAAGTGGAGGGTGCTAGCAACGAAGGTGGACGCGGCGACAGCATCTGGGACGCCTTCTCTCGGACACCCGGTAAGATCGTGAATGGAGACACGGGCGAGAAGGCGGTGGATCATTACCATCGCTACAAGGAGGACGTGCAACTTATGAAGAAGATGGGACTCAAAGCTTACCGTCTCTCCATCGCTTGACCGCGGATCATCCCCGCAGGAGTCGGCGCAGTGAACGAGGAAGGCGTCGAGTTCTACAACAACCTCATCAATGAGCTACTGGCCAACGACATCACGCCCCTGGTAACGCTATACCATTGGGATTTGCCCTTAGCTCTGCAAACCGAGTATGACGGTTGGCTTGGTGGCAAAGTCATCCAAGACGCCTTCGCGCAATACGCTCGCGTGTGCTTCCAGCGCTTCGGAGACCGTGTGACCAACTGGTTGACGTTGAATGAGCCGTGGTGCTCCGCCTTTCTGGGCTATGGCAATGGTGTTCATGCTCCAGGACGCAAGTGGAAGCCACACACGGAAGTGTATCTTGCAGGACACAACTTGTTGCTGGCCCACGCGCGTGCTGTTGAAGCCTACCGCAACGAGTTCCAAGCTACACAGAAAGGTAGAATTGGCATCACGCTGAACTGTGATTGGCGCGAACCAGCAGCGACGGATGATCCCGTGCAGAAGGCTAAGAACGAAGAAGCGGCGGAACGCTCGTTGCTCTTCTTCCTGGGATGGTTTGCGGACCCGGTCTACAAAGGAGACTACCCGCAAGTCATGAAAGACCGATGTGGACTACGTCTACCAACGTTCACTGAAGACGAGAAGAAGTTATTGAAGGGCAGCTCGGACTTCTTCGGTCTAAACCACTACGGTACCAGTTACACTGAGCCATCAGATGAGTATGAGGCCAAGATCGCGCCACCGGATGATGCTACTGGTGGCTATGGACTCGATGAAGGCACCAAACTGACGTCGGATGACTCGTGGAAGCGCACGGACATGGGCTGGAACGCTGTGGGATGGGGCTTCCAGAAGCTGCTGGTCTGGATTCAGAAGCGTTATGCAGTGCCCAACGGCATTTTAGTCACAGAGAATGGCTGCGCGTGGGCGGATCGCACCAAGGAGGAGGCTCAGAATGACGATTTCCGTGTGCAGTTCTACAAGGAATATCTCACTGGACTACACAACGCTATTGCGGAAGGCGCAGATGTCCGTGGATACTTCGCTTGGTCTTTTATTGACAACTACGAGTGGGCGGAGGGATACACTAAGCGCTTTGGGCTGCACTGGGTCAACTACGAGACCATGGAACGCACTCCTAAAAAGTCGGCGCTCTGGTACGGCGACGTCATTCGCAATAACGGATTCGCTGCTTAAGTGGGGAACAGTCGCTGATACAGTGAAGGTGCAAGTTGCACTCCCCTCGTGTGGAGCAGCAAAGCGATAGCAGTTTTAATGCTGCCTACCGTGTCGTAGGAAGTTGGGAGGCTCTCTCTTGCCCAAGTTGAGAGCGTAGATATTGGTAAAACTACATTGTTGCAAAAGTTCAACAGCTGCAACAAGAGCTTCAACCACGACTAAAATGATTGTCCAACAGACACCTTTAATGCTGATATCCGTCGTTTATGCTCAATTTACCATAAATGAGCTATATTTACAGGACGGATGTCATGGGATGCGACGATTTGCTCAACGATTATGCTAAAAAAATATGTCTTGCCGCGAAGAGCTCACTCTGCAATTTCGCTTGACCCTCAAGAGCTTCAACAACTTTCGACTGCGCAATGACCAAGGAGATCCGATTCCCCGATAAATTCATGTGGGGTGCCGCTACTGCCTCGTACCAAGTTGAGGGTGCGTGGCCGCGGTGCCAGCATCTGGGACGCATTCTCACACACTCCGGGCAAGACCAAGAACGGCGAGACGGGCGACGTAGCGATCGATCACTACCACCGTTACAAGGAAGATGTGGCGCTTATGAAGAGTATGGGACTCAAGGCTTATGGCTTCTCCATCGCCTGGCCACGTATCATTCCGGCCGGGGTGGGTGAGGTTAACGAGGAAGGCGTCCAGTTCTACGACAACCTCATTAACGAGCTACTCGCTAACGGAATTGAGCCCATGGCTACGCTGTACCATTGGGACTTGCCATTGGCATTGCAGACGGAATTCGATGGCTTCCTGGGTGAGCAGATCCAAGAACACTTCGCTCAGTATGCTCGAGTGTGCTTTAATCGATTCGGTGACCGTGTCAAGAGCTGGATCACAATGAACGAGCCATGGGTGGCCAACTACATGGGCTTCGGTTCGGGTATGTTGGCTCCTGGACGTAAGCACAACAAGCACTTTGAGCCATACCTTGCGGGTCACAACATGCTTCTTGCACACGCTCGGGCGGTGGACGTGTACCGTAAGGAATTCCAGGAGACGCAAGGTGGTCAAATCGGTATCACGCTGAGTGCTGAATGGAAAGAGCCTGGCCCCACCGACGATCCGGAACAGAAGGAGAAAAACGTCGCTGCAGCGGAGCGTGCGATGGCGTGAAGCTTCGACTGGTTTGCCGAACCAGTGTATTTTGTCGACTACCCGCAGGTCATGAAAGACCGCTGCGATGATCGCCTGGCGAAGTTCACCAAGGAGCAGAAGAAGCTACTGAAGGGCATGGGCTTAACAACTACAGTTCATGCTATGTCAAGCCGTCACCTGAGTTTGAAAATGGCGTCCCACCTCCGAACGACGAGTAAACGTTAAGTTCACCTGTACCCGCCTGAAAATCACCGTAAAACCCAGCACACTATGCATAGAGAGGCCATTCTCGGACGCCCTGCTGCGGCAGCGCGCACAGCCGGGTGGCGCATCCGGCGCGATGTGCTCCCGCCGAGGATGAGCATGCAAGGTCCACTGACTGGGGTGGGCCACACCCAAATCTGGACCACTTTTAGGTGTCACACTCCAGTCAGTATCTCGCGGAAGCTGTCGACGAGCAGCAGCAGCGCCGCCAACCTGGAAAGCCGCACGCGCCCCAGCACACACCAGAGCAGCATGCCGGGCCTCAGCGCCTCTGAGCTGCCTCCAGAGACTCTGTGTGCTGGTGACACGATCGAGTACTACTGCCGTGCCTTCGTCTGTGGAGACCCCAAGGGCTTTCGGCGCGCCGTCGTGACTTGCATTGACGACTGCGCGGACGTGGACTTCCCGGTCGATTTGGACACCGGGGACGTAATCCCGGGCGACATGATGATGAAGCGAGTCACTGCTGCGTCTAAAAAGCAGCTAGATCCCAGTGCCTCGCTCTGGAGGAAGCTACGGACGTTCAAGCTCGTCGAAGGGACGTTTGCAGCTCCATCGAGGGCCAGCGCGCTCAATTCAGCGCTTGCCGGGGCAATCAATGCTGCGGTAGAGTCCGTTCGGGAGGCGCTACGTGATAAAAGCGAGGAGATCGTTCCGGAGACACCCCAGAGCAGCGCGTGCAGCTCTCCCGAGCCAGCGCCGAGTTTGAGCCAGGTGGAGCTGCCCAGCACTCCAACCCGGCCGTTGGCGGCGACAGAGAGCGGTGGTAAAGCTCCAGCACGGTCGGAGAAGAAGGCACGAAGCGAGCAAGCGTACGAAAGATCGTCTATTAGGGAGATTATCGACTTGGTGTCGTCGTGTGATGAGAGTGGAGTGCTTTCCGGTGCTAAGTCTGCCGAGCCAAGTCCAGCAAGCGAAGTTGAGGCGGCTGTGTATATGCGGGCGATTCCGAACCGCCACGCCCGGGCCAAGATCCGCCACCAGGCGAAGAAAACGCGAGCGCAATGGCACGTCCCGAGATCGAGAAAGCGCCGCTATCTGGCAAAGTGCGCCATCACCAAGAGCGGCTCGGAGATCTACCACGCGAAGCCGTTTCAGGCCGTCAAGTTCGAGGCCTTGAAGAACAGCCCTGAGGTGAGAGAGCAGCTGGAGACTCTGCACGCTAGACGGGATGTGTTCCAGGATCCAGCAGCGAAGCAGTCTCGCACGCTGCTCAAGACGGTGTTATGGCCGTCAGACGTCGATCCCATTACGAGCTGCAAGCGCAACGGCGTCAAGTTCCCGGACATCGGGGCAGTCGACGCATGCAAGTGTTTCGGCGATTGTTTTTGGGATACGTGCTCCAACGTGGCGTCCGCATCGTTCTGCACCCCGAAGTACTGCAAGCTCGGGGCGAGGTGCAGCAACGCACCGAGGACGCTGGACACGTTGAAGCTCTTCGACACCGGTCGGGTAGGCCTCGGGGTGTACACCTCCACGGATCTCGAAGTCGGCGACGTCCAGGATCGTTATGACTCATGAGCTTACGTCGCTCGTCTTCTTTTTAATGAAAGTCCTTGTCCAGCGCAGTGTCCTTCTCCATGATATCTAATACCGACGCTCGTCTAGGTGGACCAGTCTTCGCTCCAGTAGATGGCTGCTTCTTGGCAGCAGCGTCGGCAGTGTGGATCTCTGCGAGTCGTTTCTGTAAAGTTGCCGGCATCTTCATGGTGCGGAAGGACTGGACACTTAATCCACTTTCAAACGCACGCAACGTCAGCAGCTCTACAGCCAGCGGACCAACGTACGTCTCTCGCATCTTAAGCAGTAGAAGCTCCTCTTTCTCCACAGCAAACGCAAGCGCATTGCGCACTTCATCGCACGCCTCATCGCCCTGTCGAGTCAACAGATCTCCATAGTCTAGATCAATCTCCCACTCCTCCGAGTCGACGCGACTTTGAGGTGGTAACGCTGCGTCTTGTGCCTGTAGCTCTTGAAGTTCAGTTCGCATCTGGTTCAATACAGCACGTGTCGAGTCCTGTTTACTCAGCGTAGACCTCACTCGGGCATCGGCTTCACTCTTCAGCTTGGCGTCCTCGATTGTGTACGCTTCCTTTGAGTTTGCGATATCCTCCACACTTAACTGTAACAAGGCCGTAGCGGCGACTCCAATGTGTGCCTTGCCATCATCTCGGAAAGGAGGTGTTGCCACGGGGAGGCCTTCAATACTCTTGTCATCACTCGCAAGACGGATAACGCCGAGGTATTCCTCCTTGTCCTTAGCTGCAGCAACACGAGACGATAACTTGCTCTCGATGTAAGCAGCATAGGCTTTAGCTCCATGAAAAGCAGGCAGAGCGCTCAAGTCGGTATTTGCTGTTCTTTCACTGTTACTAGGGTCACGTGACGAGTCCTGTTTACTCAACGTAGACCTCGCTCGGGCATCGGCTTCACTCTTCAGCTTGGCGTCCTCAGTTGCATACGCTTTCTTCGAGTGAATAGGTGATGGTAGGATTGCGATCCAGCGTCAATAACAGCGTTGTTGCCCGACATGTGGCCACCTAGGAAATGAGATAAAGCTGTCGGATCTCGTATTTGAATTTGAAGTTTGTAAGGCTACATGTATCTGCAGGATACATCAGATCATCCGATTCAGATGTATCAAAATATTATTTCCCCGTACCACGTCACATATTTCTTAAAACTGCGACCCTCGGTGGGAGAGAACCAAGAGCCATACCACCGACTCTCGTGGGCTGTCAGTTCGCCTTACGACCGTCTAGAGTGCAAGTTCCTTGACACTGTCTAGGCTTCTACAGTACCACTAACGACGTCAAAGTCGCCGCCCTCCTCACTTCACGTCTGCGAATCGGCGCTACCGTTTGTAGACAGGTGAGGGAAAAAAGAACACATGCCCACCACTTTTGACCTGCTATGCCCAGTGACACACTGCCGATTTCACGTACAGTACGCTCTCAACTTGCTACTTACAGTCGATTTGGGTTTGCCGTGACTGAACAGGAGCTACCTACGGACCATCGTGAAACGGAGCACGAACTAACGGTGGAGAGACTCGACGCGAGTCCTGTCCGTAACGCGGCGACGTGAGGTGAGCACCTTCACGCCCTATACGATGAAATACACACAAATGCGAGTAAAAAGCACACTAACGCCGGCTATCTGCACTGCCAAAGAGAATACGGTACCATGGCCTTGAAGGATACTTTTCCTGCCATGCAACAACGTCTCCACCGCTGGATTGGCGGCATTTTTCGCGGCCAGAGACGGAAATCAGGCAAAACGCTACGCTACTAGCTCGTGCCGAGTAGCGAAGTACCCCACCACATACCATTCACCACCCGAACCGGCCTACTGGGCGCGCTACGGCCACTTTGACGTCATTTTCTACAGTGCAACCGTGCCATGTTGCACAGGCCGAGGAGCGTTAATGCCTACAATGTCTACAACTGGCCCGCTGCATGACCATGAACGATGGCCTCGACCATTGAACCAGCGGATAGCGGCTCCGTCAAGCCGGCATCACCGTGGATAATCACCGTAGAGGGTGTTGCGAGGCCAGCTGGAACATAATCGTCATTATTGTCCATAGTGAAGATGACCCGATTGTGGTATCCACATGCACTCCATCACATGTGAACGTGGTGATGGTGCGCTGGAGATGTGCGTAGTTGAAAGGTGGTGTGATGCTTTTACTGTAGAGTATGACTTTGCATGGATGGTCGACCGGATCGACCATGTCGACCATAACATCAACGATTGTAGACTCGTTGCGAGACTGAAAATGGCCGTCAACACTGCGGGCACGGCCTCCACGTAGGATGTGGAGGTCCGCGCAATGTCTACGCCGGCTCAACGCATTGCTAAGTGCATGGAGAGAAGGGGTCGCTGGCTACGTTTGCACTGGATCTGGGGTTTAGTGGTGGAAGATATGGTACGAAAAGAATCTGTTCGGCGGTTTTGAGGTCTAATTTGGTGCATATTTTTACTCCTTCGGAGATTTAGCATTTGGAAAATGGCGAAGGGGTGGGAAGTATGTGAAGCTACACGCCGGGCAAGCTGGATCCCGCAGCTTCGGCCAGTGGTGACCCCAGAGCACCGTTTGGGGGTCGATCGAGGGTACTGGCTGCTGTTGTTGAAGCGCATGGGTTCAATGAGCTGGGTGTTTTTCGAGCTGCGAAAAAAACCCGGTGTTGCGCATATGTCAGCTTGCTCACGCGGGGCTCCGAATGCGAGAGATAAGTATACACTCGTCTGCGTTTACGCCGTCTTGAGGCACCAGAGGGTAGGTATTCGTTCTGCGCTATTTGGCTCTTTGTGGCTCTTGTGGCTGTCGTGACAGGAGTGGGGTATCATGTTGTGGATAATGCGGAACAGCAGATTTCTTGTCGACACGGGTTTGCAGGATGCTCACGCGGGGCTCCGAATGCGAGAGATAGGTATACACGTCGTCTGCGCTTACACCAACTTGAGGAACCAGAAGGTGGGTATTTGTTCTGCGCTAGGTGGCTCTTTGTGGCTCTTGTGGCTGTCGGGACAGGAGTGGCGTCTAACGTTGTGGCTAATGCGGGACAGCAGGTTTCTTGTCGACACAGGTTTGCAGGATCGGTAAACTGGAGGCGATTCAATGCGTTGAATGGCAAAGATGAAGCCGACGGATCGTTGCTATGGAGTACGACGGGGCACTCACATGGTATTCAAGTGTGGCGTGATGCTCCGATTACTGCTACACTGTCGATTGCGAGACAGCCGTGGGGCTCGAGGAGTTTTTAAACGCGCTGTGCTTTGGGTCGGATTGGGTGCCTCTACCAAAGATCAAGTTGTATTTCTTCGTGTATTTGCCTTATTTGAGCTGACATTGTGGTACCTTTCTACTCAACAGAATGTAAAGTGGTTTGTACAAGCTCTACGCTGATTCAGAGAACGTTTTCTTGCAGCTGAATAGCAATTCGAGTCGACTTTCCACGTCACGTTTTGCTTCTTCGAACTTGAAAGCCGAACAAGACTGCGATTTGTGGAGCGCTGATGGTGTGATGCAGTATTTGCTTCCTTACCATAGAGTGTGTGAAGTTTGGAAGTCTTAAAATCACTGCAACACTGAATTTAGTGCACTTGGTCACTTGGTAAACACAGAGCACCCCTCTACAAATTGCTTTTCAATCATACTTTGCAGTACATTGATCGTCTCATCCCAGTGACAACAAAAAAAGTTCAGCAAAAGTTTATAGTTTTTCAGCGTTTTGGTGCTAACACCTCTCATGTTGTTGCATGAATCTGCGGGTGCCGGTGTTACTAGCACCTGGTCAGCATTGGATTCATTCATATTCATGTTGAGATTAAAGTGCACGTTAGTATCGGAGCAAATTTTCAGAGTATAATGCTGCCCATCGCAAGATCAGCATTGTACGGTACTTGTAATGTAGCGCCACTCCACTACAAACACAGGTGTGATGGCAATGAGATCTGCAACCTCCAGTTTCAAGACAAGAGACTCGAATCTATTGCATATGCTGAAGTTTACGTGCGTTCTTATCACTCTGAAGTCTAGCAGGTCAGAAGTGATTGCAGTGGCTACAGCGAGTGGAGAGGTGCATGTGCGTTGCAGCTCAAAACCGAAGGTCGTTGTCGGTTTTGAGCTCCAGCGCACAAGCACCTCTCTACTCGATCTCTTCACCACAAACCTTTGACTTCGACTGCGTCTTGTCTTCCTGCTCGAACGTTTCACTTTCGGTTTTGATTTCCACCACACAAGCGACCTCGCCAACTCAAGCGCTGCACTCAAGATAACTATTAGCCTCCATCAGCACACTCCCACTCTATCGAGCAAGACTCTGTATTAACCGCTCTGGATCCTACTCGTCGCCAAGCTCTACCCTCGAGGCGCATACACTTTTCCATCTTTGCCGCGCAGCAGTCCAATCTCCTGCTTGAGCGCTTCAACTTCTCTGGCCTGCAGCTTCACCAGCCGCACGAGCTTGTTGCGCTCCTTCATCTCGCGCTCAGCCAACGCCTCGTCGTCGTCAAGACTGAGTACACCACCACTGTCCCAACTGCTACTGCTACCACCCTGATGGCGATTGAGTTCGCGTTCCAGTTCAGCCTGACGCTCCGTGAGTGCAGCGATCTGAGCTAACAAGGCCGTGTTCTGCTCGGTCGCCTGCAGAATAGCGTGTTGCAGCTGCGGGTGCGTCTGCTTGGCACGACGCAGCGCTCGCTCACCTTCGACCTCGCGTAACTTGACGCGAGTCTGCAGCTCGTCCACCGAAGACGCGTCACAAGCGCGATCCAGCACCTCCAGGTCCACTAGCTGTCCGAATTTCAGTCGCATGAGCTGCTCGCTGCGGTCCTGAGCTCTTGCAATGGCTTCTTGCTGTTGACGCTTCTCCTTAGCAAGCACGTTCTGCTGCTTGTGGAGGTCTCGGAACTGTTGACGCAGCTTCTTGTTCTCTGCTTGCAGCGACTCGATACGCTCGGACAACGCAGAGAAGGCGCGAGTGGTGAACACGAGGCAGCCAGCAGCTTGAGCAGGTAGCGTCCAGTTTTGCCGAGTCGGAGACGGAGCTTCAAGACAACATAGTTGCCGCGTACTGAGCGGCACTACGACGTCCAGCTGGTTGAAGCGCGACTGCTTTTCACTCTGGAACTGCTGCGTATCCTGCTCCGTCGCAGCCAGCTCCTTGTCGATCGCACGTTGCTTGGCTGTCTGACGCTCTCCGGCCTTCCGAAGCTCTTCGATCGCCTTGTTCAGCTCCCCCATGGCGTCGTCTACATCGACACGCTTCTCACGCAGGGCCAACACCTTCTCGTACAGAGTCAAGTCGCATCCAGACGGACAAGTATCCTCTTCTTCTTCGTCATCGTCGTCGTCATCTTCGTCATAGTCTTCGTCCTCGTCCTCTTCTTCTTCATCGTCGTCTTCTTGCTCCTCGCCGTCTCTCGCACTGGGCAGGCTCTTTCCCTTCTTCCTTGCTACCCGAAGCGGGTTTCTTCTTAGCTCGCTTGATCTTGCGCTTAAACAGCTTCTGCAGCGCCGCAAAGCTCGGGTGAGGTGTCGCACTTGACCCCGTGCCGCCGTTCACAAGCGTCAGGAACTCTACTTGCACAGCCTTCTCCTGTCGCGCCCATTCATCCAGATCGCGTTTCTTGATGGTCAGCAGGTCTTGGACATCGCGCAGGTCCGCCACAATCTGCGCCTTTTCCCCTTTACTCTTCTCGAGCTTACTGCTCAACAGGTTTTCCTTGCTCTCGAACGACTCAAGTAGCGACAACTCGCTAAGGAGAGTGAACAGCCGAAGTTCCGCTTGCTTGAAGCCGACCTCGAGAGCGAGTTTCTCATGACGGAGGTGAGCCACAGCAGCGTCAAACGACGCTATCTCGCGTTGCTGCTTGCGCTCGAGCAGTAGCGCTTCTTGGCGCATCAAGTATTCATGGATAACCACGTCATCCTCGTCCATGTTTCCTACATTTAGAGCACCCGCGTGTGCAGACGAAGCCGTCGCAGCAGCTGCCGTACCGTCGTCCATCTGCAGATGTAAATGGCCAATGGTGACGCCCTTTGCAGCCTCCTTTCCCGACGTTCCTTCCAGAGCTCGTGCGACGGCAGCGATGGATCGATCTGCTGATTGCGGACGCTTCTCAGCCCCACCGATGCGCGTCAATGCCAAGTGCGCTTCGCCAGTCTGAGTCTGCACGTGTGATATCACCTTCTGCCCTCGAAGGAAGAGCTCAATGTCGGCGTCGCTTACGCGCTCCCGCTGCTCCGGCCACTCGCGAAGGTCCACAACTAGATCTTTGGACGACACGCTGGATGGTGTTGCGCCGCTGGACGCTAATGCGGCTCGAAGTTCGACTAGTCGTTCCTGGTCGCGATGCAGCTCGTTGATCAGCTGCACCTTCAACTCGCGAAGCTCCAGCACTTTGGCGTTGAATCGCAAGCGTGCGGCATACAGACTCTCCTCCAAGAGCGCCATCTGCCTCAATTTCTTCACTGCGTTGACACGCTGATGTTCTGGAACCACGTAGTCTGCAGCCGTTTTCAGCTTGTAGTCGCCCATGTTGCGTTGAGCAAAGGCGATCGCGACCACGTCTCTGGGATCGTCGGCATCTTCGCCTGGTTTGTTGCTCTGCCAGCGTGCCAGTCTCTCCTTTCGCTCCGTGCGCAGTCGTTTGCGCGCCTCGAAGCCGTGAACGGACTTTGACCCACTAGTCTCCTGTACTGCTGTCAGACCGCTTGATGCTGCGCAATTCCCACCGACAGCAGGATCGTTATGACTCATGAGCTTACGTCGCTCGTCTTCTTTTAAGGGAAAGTCCTCGTCCAGCGCAGTGTCCTTCTCCATGGTATCTAATACCGACGCTCGTCTAGGTGGACCAGTCTTCGCTCCAGTAGATGGCTGCTTCTTGGCAGCAGCGTCGGCAGTGTGGATCTCTGCGAGTCGTTTCTGTAAAGTTGCCGGCATCTTCATGGTGCGGAAGGACTGGACACTTAATCCACTTTCAAACGCACGCAACGTCAGCAGCTCTACAGCCAGCGGACCCACGTACGTCTCTCGCATCTTAAGCAGTAGAAGCTCCTCTTTCTCCACTGCAAACGCAAGCTCCTTGCGCGCTTCATCGCACGCCTCATCGCCCTGTCGAGTCAACAGATCTCCATAGTCCAGATCAATCTCCCACTCCTCCGAGTCGACGCGACTTTGAGGTGGTAACGCTGCGTCTTGTGCCTGTAGCTCTTGAAGTTCAGTTCGCATCTGGTTCAATACTGCACGTGTCGAGTCCTGCTTACTCAGCGTAGACCTCGCTCGGGCATCGGCTTCACTCTTCAGCTTGGCGTCCTCGATTGTGTACGCTTCCTTTGAGTTTGCGATATCCTCCACACTTAACTGTAACAAGGCCGTAGCGGCGACTCCAGTTTGTGCCTTGCCATCATCTCGGGAAGGAGGTGTTGCCTTGGGGAGACCTTCAATGCTCTGATCATCACTTGCAAGACGGGTAACGCCGAGGTATTCCTCCTTGTCCTTAGCTGCAGCAACACGAGACGATAATTTGCTCTCGATGTAAGCAGTATAGGCTTTAGCTCCGTGAAAAGCAGGCAGAGCGCTCAAGTCGGTATTTGCTGTTTTTTCACTGTTACTAGGGTCACGTGACGAGTCCTGTTAATCAGCGTAGACCTCGCTCGGGCATCGGCTTCACTCTTCAGCTTGGCGTCCTCAGTTGCATACGCTTTCTTCGAGTGAATAGGTGATGGTAGGATTGCGATCCAGCGTCAATAACAGCGTTGTTGCCCGACATGTGGCCACCTAGGAAATGAGATAAAGCTGTCGGATCTCGTATTTGAATTTGAAGTTTGTAAGGCTATCTGCAGTATATGTATCAGGCAACAGAAGATTTTTTCCCCGTACCACGTCACATATTTCTTAAAACTTGGACCCTAGAGAACCAGTCAAAAAGCCAAGAGCCATACCACCGACTCTCGTGGACTGTCAGTTCGCCTTACGACCGCTTAGAGTGCAAGCTGCTTGACACTGTCTAGGCTTCTACCACTAACGACGTCAAAGTCGCCGCCCTCCTCACTTCACGTCTGCGAATCGGCGCTACCGTTTGTAGACAGGTGAGGGAAAAAAGAACACATGTCCACCACTTTCGACCTGCTATGCCCAGTGACACACTGCCGATTTCACGTACAGTACGCTCTCAACTTGCTACTTACAGTCGATTTGGGTTTGCCGTGACTGAACAGGAGCTACCTACGGACCATCGTGAAACGGAGCACGAACTAACGGTGGAGAGACTCGACGCGAGTCCTGTCCGTAACGCGGCGACGTGAGGTGAGCACCTTCACGCCCTATGCGATGAAATACACACAAATGCAAGTGAAAAGCACACTAACGCCGTCTATCTGCACTGCCAAAGAGAATACGGTGCCATGGCCTTGAAGGATACTTTTCCTGCCATGCAACAACGTCTCCACCGCTGGATTGGCGGCATTTTTCGCGGCCAGAGACGGAAATCAGGCAAAACTCTACGCTACTAGCTCGTGCCGAGTAGCGAAGTACCCCACCACATACCATTCACCACCCGAACCGGCCTACTGGGCGCGCTACGGCCACTTTGACGTCATTTTCTACAGTGCAACCGTGCCATGTTGCACAGGCCGAGGAGCGTTAATGCCTACAATGTCTACAACTGGCCCGCTGCATGACCATGAACGATGGCCTCGACCATTGAACCAGCGGATAGCGGCTCCGTCAAGCCGGCATCACCGTGGATAATCACCGTAGAGGGTGTTGCGAGGCCAGCTGGAACATAATCGCCATTATTGTCCATAGTAAAGATGACCCGATTGTGGTATCCACATGCACTCCATGGCATGTGAACGTGGTGATGGTGCACTGGAGATGTGCGTAGTTGAAAGGTGGTGTGATGATTTTACTGTAAAGTATGATTTTGCATGGATGGTCGACCGGATCGACCATGTCGACCATAACATCAACGATTGTTGACTCGTTGCGAGACTGAAAAAGGCCGTCAACACTGCGGGCACGGCCTCCACGTAGGATGTGGAGGTCCGCGCAATGTCTACGCCGGCTCAACGCATTGCTAAGTGCATGGAGAGAAGGGGTCGCTGGCTACGTTTGCACTGGATCTGGGGTTTAGTGGGGGGAGATATGGTACGAAAAGAATCTGTTCGGCGGTTTGAGGTCTAATTGGTGCATATTTTTACTCCCTCCGGAGATTTACATTTTGGAAAATGGCGAAAGGGGTGGGTAAGTATTCTCAGCTTACTCGCTGGGATATCTGATCTCCCTCTCTCCCACATTGCTGACCCCAGAACACCGTTTGGAGGTCGATCGAGGGTACTGGCTGCTGTTGTTGAAGCGCATGGGTTCAATGAGCTGGGTGTTTTTCGAGCTGCGAAAAAAAAAACGTTGTTGCGCATATGTCAGCTTGTTCACGCGGGGCTCCGAATGCGAGAGATAAGTATACACTCGTCTGCGTTTACGCCGTCTTGAGGCACCAGAGGGTAGGTATTCGTTCTGCGCTATTTGGCTCTTTGTGGCTCTTGTGGCTGTCGTGACAGGAGTGGGGTATCATGTTGTGGATAATGCGGAACAGCAGATTTCTTGTCGACACGGGTTTGCAGGATGCTCACGCGGGGCTCCGAATGCGAGAGATAGGTATACACGTCGTCTGCGCTTACACCAACTTGAGGAACCAGAAGGTGGGTATTTGCTCTGCGCTAGGTGGCTCTTTGTGGCTCTTGTGGCTGTCGGGACAGGAGTGGCGTCTAACGTTGTGGCTAATGCGGGACAGCAGGTTTCTTGTCGGTACGGGTTTGCAGGATCGGTAAACTGGAGGCGATTCAATGCGTTGAATGGCAAAGATGAAGCCGACGGATCGTTGCTATGGAGTACGACGGGGCACTCACATGGTATTCAAGTGTGGCGTGATGCTCCGATTACTGCTACACTGTCGATTGCGAGACAGCCGTGGGGCTCGAGGAGTTTTAAACGCGCTGTGCTTTGGGTCGGATTGAGTGGTTCTACCAAAGATCAAGTTGTATTTCTTCGTGTTTTTGCCTTATTTGAGCTGACATTGTGGTACCTTTTTACTCAACAGAATGAAAAGTGGCTTGTAGAAGCTCTACGCTGATTCAGAGAACGTTTTCTTGCAGCTGAATAGCAATTCGAGTCGATTTTCCACGTCACGTTTTGCTTCTCTGAACTTGAAAGCCGAACAATAGCTCATGACTGCGATTTGTGGAGCGCTGATGGTGTGATGCAGTATTTGCTTCCTTACCCATAGAGTGTGTGAAGTTTGGAAGTCTTAAAATCACTGCAACACTAAATTTAGTGCACTTGGTCACTTGGTAAACACAGGTCACTCGTCTACAAATTGCTTCTCAATCATACTTTGCAGTACATTGATCGTCTCATCCCAGTGACAACAAAAAAGCTCAACAAAAGTTTATAGTTTTTCAGCGTTTTGGTGCTAACACCTCTCATTGTTGTTGCATGAATCTGCGGGTGCCGGTGTTACTAGCACCTGGTCAGCATTGGATTGATTCATATTCATGTCGAGATTCAAGTGCACGTTAGTATCGGAGCAAATTTTCACAGTATAATGCTGCCCATCGCAAGATCAGCATTGTACGGACTTGTAATGTAGCGCCACTCCACTACAAGCACAGGTGTGATGGCAATGAGATCTGCAACCTCCAGTTTCAAGACAAGAGACTCGAATCTATTGCATATGCTGAAGTTTACGTGCGTTCTTATCACTCTGAAGTCAAGCAGGTCAGAAGTGATCGCAGTGGCTACAGCGAGTGGGTGCGTTGCAGCTCAAAACCGAAGGTCGTTGTCGGTTTTGAGCTCCAACGCACAAGCACCTCTCCACTCGATCTCTTTACCACAAACCTTTGACTTCGACTGCGTCTTGTCTTCCTGCTCGAACGATTCACTTTCGGTTTTGATTCCCACCACACAAGCGACCTCGCCAACTCAAGCGCTGCACTCAGGATAACCATTAGCCTCCATCAGCACACTCCCACTCTATCGAGCAAGACTCTGTATTAACCGCTCTGGATCCTACTCGTCGCCAAGCTCTACCCTCGAGGCGCATACACTTTTCCATCTTTGCCGCGCAGCAGTCCAATCTCCTGCTTGAGCGCTTCAACTTCTCTGGCCTGCAGCTTCACCAGCCGCACGAGCTTGTTGCGCTCCTTCATCTCGCGCTCAGCCAAGGCCTCGTCGTCGTCAAGACTGAGTACACCGCCACTGTCCCCACTGCTACTGCCATCACCCTGATGGCGATTGAGTTCGCGTTCCAGTTCGGCCTGACGCTCCGTGAGTGCAGCGATCTGAGCTAACAAGGCCGTGTTCTGCTCGGTCGCCTGCAGAATAGCGTGTTGCAGCTGCGGGTGCGTCTGCTTGGCACGACGCAGCGCTCGCTCACCTTCGACCTCGCGTAACTTGACGCGAGTCTGCAGCTCGTCGACCGAAGACGCGTCACAAGCGCGATCCAGCACCTCCAGGTCCACTAGCTGTCCGAATTTCAGTCGCATGAGCTGCTCGCTGCGGTCCTGAGCTCTTGCAATGGCTTCTTGCTGTTGACGCTTCTCCTTAGCAAGCACGTTCTGCTGCTTGTGGAGGTCTCGGAGCTGCTGACGCAGCTTCTTGTTCTCTGCTTGCAGCGACTCGATACGCTCGGACAACGCAGAGAAGGCGCGAGTGGTGAATACGAGGCAGCCAGCAGCTTGAGCAGGTAGCGTCCAGTTGTGCCGAGTCGGAGACGGAGCTTCAAGACAACATAGTTGCCGCGTACTGAGCGGCACTACGACGTCCAGCTGGTTGAAGCGCGACTGCTTTTCACTCTGGAACTGCTGCGTATCCTGCTCCGTCGCAGCCAGCTCCTTGTCGATCGCACGTTGCTTGGCTGTCTGACGCTCTCCGGCCTTCCGAAGCTCTTCGATCGCCTTGTTCAGCTCCCCCATGGCGTCGTCTACATCGACACGCTTCTCACGCAGGGCCAACACCTTCTCGTACAAAGTCAAGTCGCATCCCGACGGACAAGTATCCTCTTCTTCTTCGTCATCGTCGTCGTCATCTTCGTCATAGTCTTCGTCCTCGTCCTCTTCTTCTTCATCATCGTCTTCTTGCTCCTCGCCGTCTCTCGCTCTGTCAGGCTCTTTCCCTTCTTCCTTGCCACCTGAAGCGGGTTTCTTCTTAGCTCGCTTGATCTTGCGCTTAAACAGCTTCTGCAGCGCCGCAAAGCTCGGGTGAGGTGTCACACTTGACCCCGTGCCGCCGTTCACAAGCGTCAGGAACTCTGCTTGCACAGCCTTCTCCTGTCGCGCCCATTCATCCAGATCGCGTTTCTTGATCGTCAGCAGGTCTTGGACATCGCGCAGGTCCGCCACAATCTGCGCCTTTCCCCTTTACTCTTCTCGAGTTTACTGCTCAACAGGTTTTCCTTGCTCTCGAACGACTCAAGCAGCGACAACTCGCTAAGGAGAGTGAACAGCCGAAGTTCCGCTTGCTTGAAGCCGACCTCGAGAGCGAGTTTCTCATGACGGAGGTGAGCCACAGCAGCGTCAAACGACGCTATCTCGCGTTGCTGCTTGCGCTCGAGCAGTAGCGCTTCTGGCGCATCAAGTATTCATGGATAAACCACGTCATCCCTCGTCCATGTTTTCTACATTTAGAGCACCCGCGTGTGCAGACGAAGCCGTCGCAGCAGCTGCCGTACCGTCGTCCATCTGCAGATGTAAATGGCCAATGGTGACGCCCTTTGCAGCCTCCTTTCCCGACGTTCCTTCCAAAGCTCGTGCGACGGCAGCGATGGATCGATCTGCTGATTGCGGACGCTTCTCAGCCCCACCGATGCGCGTCAATGCCAAGTCCGCTTCGCCAGTCTGAGTCTGCACGTGTGATATCACCTTCTGCTCTCGAAGGAAGAGCTCAATGTCGGCGTCGCTTACGCGCTCCCGCTGCTCCGGCCACTCGCGAAGGTCCACAACTAGATCTTTGGACGACACGCTGGATGGTGTTGCGCCGCTGGACGCTAATGCGGCTCGAAGCTCGACTAGTCGTTCCTGGTCGCGATGCAGCTCGTTGATCAGCTGCACCTTCAACTCGCGAAGCTCCAGCACTTTGGCGTTGAATCGCAAGCGTGCGGCATACAGACTCTCCTCCAAGAGCGCCATCTGCCTCAATTTCTTCGCTGCGTTGACACGCTGATGTTCTGGAACCACGTAGTCTGGAGCCGTTTTCAGCTTGTAATCGCCCATGTTGCGTTGAGCAAAGGCGATCGCGACCACGTCTCTGGGATCGTCGGCATCTTCGCCTGGTTTGTTGCTCTGCCAGCGTGCCAGTCTCTCCTTTCGCTCCGTGCGCAGTCGTTTGCGCGCCTCGAAGCCGTGAACGGACTTTGACCCACTAGTCTCCTGTACTGCTGTCGGACCGCTTGATGCTGCGCAATTCCCACCGACAGCAGGATCGTTATGACTCATGAGCTTACGTCGCTCGTCTTCTTTTAAGGGAAAGTCCTCGTCTAGCGCAGTGTCCTTCTCCATGATATCTAATACCGACGCTCGTCTAGGTGGACCAGTCTTCGCTCCAGTAGATGGCTGCTTCTTGGCAGCAGCGTCGGCAGTGTGGATCTCTGCGAGTCGTTTCTGTAAAGTTGCCGGCATCTTCATGGTGCGGAAGGACTGGACACTTAATCCACTTTCAAACGCACGCAACGTCAGCAGCTTTACAGCGAGCGGACCAACGTACGTCTCTCGCATCTTAAGCAGTAGAAGCTCCTCTTTCTCCACTGCAAACGCAAGCTCCTTGCGCACTTCATCGCACGCCTCATCGCCCTGTCGAGTCAACAGATCTCCATAGTCCAGATCAATCTCCCACTCCTCCGAGTCGACGCGACTTTGAGGTGGTAACGCCGCGTCTTGTGCCTGTAGCTCTTGAAGTTCAGTTCGCATCTGGTTCAATACAGCACGTGTCGAGTCCTGTTTACTCAGCGTAGACCTCACTCGGGCATCGGCTTCACTCTTCAGCTTGGCGTCCTCAATTGTGTACGCTTCCTTTGAGTTTGCGATATCCTCCACACTTAAGTGTAACAAGGCCGTAGCGAAGACTCCAGTTTGTGCCTTGCCATCATCTCGGGAAGGAGGTGTTGCCTTGGGGAGACCTTCAATGCTCTGATCATCACTTGCAAGACGGGTAACGCCGAGGTATTCCTCCTTGTCCTTAGCTGCAGCAACACGAGACGATAACTTGCTCTCGATGTAAGCAGCATAGGCTTTAGCTCCATGAAAAGCAGGCAGAGCGCTCAAGTCGGTATTTGCTGTTCTTTCACTGTTACTAGGGTCACGTGACGAGTCCTGTTTACTCAACGTAGACCTCGCTCGGGCATCGGCTTCACTCTTCAGCTTGGCGTCCTCAGTTGCATACGCTTTCTTCGAGTGAATAGGTGATGGTAGGATTGCGATCCAGCGTCAATAACAGCGTTGTTGCCCGACATGTGGCCACCTAGGAAATGAGATAAAGCTGTCGGATCTCGTATTTGAATTTGAAGTTTGTAAGGCTACATGTATCTGCAGGATACATCAGATCATCTGATTCAGATGTATCAAAATATTATTTCCCCGTACCACGTCACATATTTCTTAAAACTGCGACCCTCGGTGGGAGAGAACCAAGAGCCATACCACCGACTCTCGTGGGCTGTCAGTTCGCCTTACGACCGTCTAGAGTGCAAGTTCCTTGACACTGTCTAGGCTTCTACAGTACCACTAACGACGTCAAAGTCGCCGCCCTCCTCACTTCACGTCTGCGAATCGGCGCTACCGTTTGTAGACAGGTGAGGGAAAAAAAGAACACATGCCCACCACTTTCGACCTGCTATGCCCAGTGACACACTGCCGATTTCACGTACAGTACGCTCTCAACTTGCTACTTACAGTCGATTTGGGTTTGCCGTGACTGAACAGGAGCTACCTTACGGACCCATCGTGAAAACGGGAGCACGAAACTAAGCGGTGGGAGAGACTCGAACGGCGAGTCCTGTCCGTACGCGGCGACGTGAGTTGAGCACCCTTCACGCCCTATGCGATGAATATACACACAAATGCAAGTGAAAAGCACACTAACGCCGGCTATCTGCACTGCCAAAGAGAATACGGTGCCATGGCCTTGAAGGATACTTTTTCTGCCATGCAACAACGTCTCCACCGCTGGATTGGCGGCATTTTTCGCGGCCAGAGACGGAAATCAGGCAAAACTCTACGCTACTAGCTCGTGCCGAGTAGCGAAGTACCCCACCACATACCATTCACCACCCGAACCGGCCTACTGGGCGCGCTACGGCCACTTTGACGTCATTTTCTACAGTGCAACCGTGCCATGTTGCACAGGCCGAGGAGCGTTAATGCCTACAATGTCTACAACTGGCCCGCTGCATGACCATGAACGATGGCCTCGACCATTGAACCAGCGGATAGCGGCTCCGTCAAGCCGGCACCACCGTGGATAATCACCGTAGAGGGTGTTGCGAGGCCAGCTGGAACATAATCGTCATTATTGTCCATAGTGAAGATGACCCGATTGTGGTATCCACATGCACTCCATCACATGTGAACGTGGTGATGGTGCGCTGGAGATGTGCGTAGTTGAAAGGTGGTGTGATGATTTTACTGTAGAGTATGACTTTGCATGGATGGTCGACCGGATCGACCATGTCGACCATAACATCAACGATTGTTGACTCGTTGCGAGACTGAAAATGGCCGTCAACACTGCGGGCACGGCCTCCACGTAGGATGTGGAGGTCCGCGCAATGTCTACGCCGGCTCAACGCATTGCTAAGTGCATGGAGAGAAGGGGTCGCTGGCTACGTTTGCACTGGATCTGGGGCTTAGTGGTGGGAGATATGGTACGAAAAGATCTGTTCGGCGGTTTTGAGGTCTAATTTGGTGCATATTTTTACTCCTTCGGAGATTTAGCATTTGGAAAATGGCGAAGGGGTGGGAAGTATGTGCAGCTACACGCCGGGCAAGCTGGATCCCGCAGCTTCGGCCAGTGGTGACCCCAGAGCACAGTTTGGAGGTCGATCGAGGGTACTGGCTGCTGTTGTTGAAGCGCATGGGTTCAATGAGCTGGGTGTTTTTCGAGCTGCGAAAAAAACCCGTTGATGCGCATATGTCAGCTTGTTCACGCGGGGCTCCGAATGCGAGAGATAAGTATACACTCGTCTGCGTTTACGCCGTCTTGAGGCACCAGAGGGTAGGTATTCGTTCTGCGCTATTTGGCTCTTTGTGGCTCTTGTGGCTGTCGTGACAGGAGTGGGGTATCATGTTGTGGATAATGCGGAGCAGCAGATTTCTTGTCGACACGGGTTTGCAGGATGCTCACGCGGGGCTCCGAATGCGAGAGATAGGTATACACGTCGTCTGCGCTTACACCAACTTGAGGAACCAGAAGGTGGGTATTTGTTCTACGCTAGGTGGCTCTTTGTGGCTCTTGTGGCTGTCGGGACAGGAGTGGCGTCTAACGTTATGGCTAATGCGGGACAGCAGGTTTCTTGTCGGCACGGGTTTGCAGGATCGGTAAACTGGAGGCGATTCAATGCGTTGAATGGCAAAGATGAAGCCGACGGATCGTTGCTATGGAGTACGACGGGGCACTCACATGGTATTCAAGTGTGGCGTGATGCTCCGATTACTGCTACACTGTCGATTGCGAGACAGCCGTGGGGCTCGAGGAGTTTTAAACGCGCTGTGCTTTGGGTCGGATTGAGTGGTTCTACCAAAGATCAGGTTGTATTTCTTCGTGTTTTTGCCTTATTTGAGCTGACATTGTGGTACCTTTTTACTCAACAGAATGAAAAGTGGTTTGTACAAGCTCTACGCTGATTCAGAGCACGTTTTCTTGCAGCTGAATAGCAATTCGAGTCGATTTTCCACGTCACGTTTTGCTTTTTCGAACTTGAAAGCCGAACAATAGCTCATGACTGCGATTTGTGGAGCGCTGATGGTGTGATGCAGTATTTGCTTCCTTACCATAGAGTGTGTGAAGTTTGGAAGTCTTAAAATCACTGCAACACTGAATTTAGTGCACTTGGTCACTTGGTAAACACAGGTCACTCGTCTACAAATTGCTTTTCAATCATACTTTGCAGTACATTGATCGTCTCATCCCAGTGACAACAAAAAAAGTTCAGCAAAAGTTTATAGTTTTTCAGCGTTTTGGTGCTAACACCTCTCATTGTTGTTGCATGAATCTGCGGGTGCCGGTGTTACTAGCACCTGGTCAGCATTGGATTCATTCATATTCATGTCGAGATTCAAGTGCACGTTAGTATCGGAGCAAATTTTCACAGTATAATGCTGCCCATCGCAAGATCAGCATTGTACGGACTTGTAATGTAGCGCCACTCCACTACAAACACAGGTGTGATGGCAATGAGATCTGCAACCTCCAGTTTCAAGACAAGAGACTCGAATCTATTGTATATGCTGAAGTTTACGTGCGCTCTTATCACTCTGAAGTCTAGCAGGTCAGAAGTGATCGCAGTGGCTACAGCGAGTGGAGAGGTGCATGTGCGTTGCAGCTCAAAACCGAAGGTCATTGTCGGTTTTGAGCTCCAACGCACAAGCACCTCTCCACTCGATCTCTTTACCACAAACCTTTGACTTCGACAGCGTCTTGTCTTCCTGCTCGAACGATTCACTTTCGGTTTTGATTTCCACCACACAAGCGACCTCGCCAACTCAAGCGCTGCACTCAGGATAACCATTAGCCTCCATCAGCACACTCCCACTCTATCGAGCAAGACTCTGTATTAACCGCTCTGGATCCTACTCGTCGCCAAGCTCTACCCTCGAGGCGCATACACTTTTCCATCTTTGCCGCGCAGCAGTCCAATCTCCTGCTTGAGCGCTTCAACTTCTCTGGCCTGCAGCTTCACCAGCCGCACGAGCTTGTTGCGCTCCTTCATCTCGCGCTCAGCCAAGGCCTCGTCGTCGTCAAGACTGAGTACACCGCCACTGTCCCCACTGCTACTGCCACCACCCTGATGGCGATTGAGTTCGCTTTCCAGTTCGGCCTGACGCTCCGTGAGTGCAGCGATCTGAGCTAACAAGGCCGTGTTCTGCTCGGTCGCCTGCAGAATAGCGTGTTGCAGCTGCAGGTGCGTCTGCTTGGCACGACGCAGAGCTCGCTCACCTTCGACCTCGCGTAACTTGACGCGAGTCTGCAGCTCGTCGACCGAAGACGCGTCACAAGCGCGATCCAGCACCTCCAGGTCTACTAGCTGTCCGAATTTCAGTCGCATGAGCTGCTCGCTGCGGTCCTGAGCTCTTGCAATGGCTTCTTGCTGTTGACGCTTCTCCTTAGCAAGCACGTTCTGCTGCTTGTGGAGGTCTCGGAACTGCTGACGCAGCTTCTTGTTCTCTGCTTGCAGCGACTCGATACGCTCGGACAACGCAGAGAAGGCGCGAGTGGTGAATACGAGGCAGCCAGCAGCTTGAGCAGGTAGCGTCCAGTTGTGCCGAGTCGGAGACGGAGCTTCAAGACAACATAGTTGCCGCGTACTGAGCGGCACTACGACGTCCAGCTGGGTTGAAGCGCGACTGCTTTTCACTCTGGAACTGCTGCGTATCCTGCTCCGTCGCAGCCAGCTCCTTGTCGATCGCACGTTGCTTGGCTGTCTGACGCTCTCCGGCCTTCCGAAGCTCTTCGATCGCCTTGTTCAGCTCCCCCATGGCGTCGTCTACATCGACACGCTTCTCACGCAGGGCCAACACCTTCTCGTACAAAGTCAAGTCGCATCCCGACGGACAAGTATCCTCTTCTTCTTCGTCATCTTCGTCGTCATCTTCGTCATAGTCTTCGTCCTCGTCCTCTTCTTCTTCATCGTCGTCTTCTTGCTCCTCGCCGTCTCTCGCTCTGTCAGGCTCTTTCCCTTCTTCCTTGCCACCTGAAGCGGGTTTCTTCTTAGCTCGCTTGATCTTGCGCTTAAACAGCTTCTGCAGCGCCGCAAAGCTCGGGTGAGGTGTCACACTTGACCCCGTGCCGCCGTTCACAAGCGTCAGGAACTCTGCTTGCACAGCCTTCTCCTGTCGCGCCCATTCATCCAGATCGCGTTTCTTGATCGTCAGCAGGTCTTGGACATCGCGCAGGTCCGCCACAATCTGCGCCTTTTCCCCTTTACTCTTCTCGAGTTTACTGCTCAACAGGTTTTCCTTGCTCTCGAACGACTCAAGCAGCGACAACTCGCTAAGGAGAGTGAACAGCCGAAGTTCCGCTTGCTTGAAGCCGACCTCGAGAGCGAGTTTCTCGCGACGGAGGTGAGCCACAGCAGCGTCAAACGACGCTATCTCGCGTTGCTGCTTGCGCTCGAGCAGTAGCTCTTGGCGCATCAAGTATTCATGGACAACCACGTCATCCTCGTCCATGTTTTCTACATTTAAAGCGCCCGCGTGTGCAGACGAAGCCGTCGCAGCAGCTGCCGTACCGTCGTCCATCTGCAGATGTAAATGGCCAATGGTGACGCCCTTTGCAGCCTCCTTTCCCGACGTTCCTTCCAGAGCTCGTGCGACGGCAGCGATGGATCGATCTGCTGATTGCGGACGCTTCTCAGCCCCACCGATGCGCGTCAATGCCAAGTCCGCTTCGCCAGTCTGAGTCTGCACGTGTGATATCACCTTCTTCTCGCGAAGGAAGAGCTCAATGTCGGCGTCGCTTACGCGCTCCCGCTGCTCCGGCCACTCGCGAAGGTCCACAACTAGATCTTTGGACGACACGCTGGATGGTGTTGCGCCGCTGGACGCTAATGCGGCTCGAAGCTCGACTAGTCGTTCCTGGTCGCGATGCAGCTCGTTGATCAGCTGCACCTTCAACTCGCGAAGCTCCAGCACTTTGGCGTTGAATCGCAAGCGTGCGGCATACAGACTCTCCTCCAAGAGCGCCATCTGCCTCAATTTCTTCGCTGCGTTGACACGCTGATGTTCTGGAACCACGTAGTCTGGAGCCGTTTTCAGCTTGTAGTCGCCCATGTTGCGTTGAGCAAAGGCGATCGCGACCACGTCTCTGGGATCGTCGGCATCTTCGCCTGGTTTGTTGCTCTGCCAGCGTGCCAGTCTCTCCTTTCGCTCCGTGCGCAGTCGTTTGCGCGCCTTGAAGCCGTGAACGGACTTTGACCCACTAGTCTCCTGTACTGCTGTCGGACCGCCTGATGCTGCGCCATTCCCGCCGACAGCAGGATCGTTATGACTCATGAGCTTACGTCGCTCGTCTTCTTTTAAGGGAAAGTCCTCGTCCAGCGCAGTGTCCTTCTCCATGATATCTAATACCGACGCTCGTCTAGGTGGACCAGTCTTCGCTCCAGTAGATGGCTGCTTCTTGGCAGCAGCGTCTGCAGTGTGGATATCTGCGAGTCGTTTCTGTAAAGTTGCCGGCATCTTCATGGTGCGGAAGGACTGGACACTTAATCCACTTTCAAACGCACGCAACGTCAGCAGCTTTACAGCGAGCGGACCAACGTACGTCTCTCGCATCTTAAGCAGTAGAAGCTCCTCTTTCTCCACTGCAAACGCAAGCTCCTTGCGCACTTCATCGCACGCCTCATCGCCCTGTCGAGTCAACAGATCTCCATAGTCCAGATCAATCTCCCACTCCTCCGAGTCGACGCGACTTTGAGGTGGTAACGCTGCGTCTTGTGCCTGTAGCTCTTGAAGTTCAGTTCGCATCTGGTTCAATACTGCACGTGTCGATTCCTGTTTACTCAGCGTAGACCTCACTCGGGCATCGGCTTCACTCTTCAGCTTGGCGTCCTCAATTGTGTACGCTTCCTTTGAGTTTGCGATATCCTCCACACTTAAGTGTAACAAGGCCGTAGCGAAGACTCCAGTTTGTGCCTTGCCATCATCTCGGGAAGGAGGTGTTGCCTTGGGGAGACCTTCAATGCTCTGATCATCACTTGCAAGACGGGTAACGCCGAGGTATTCCTCCTTGTCCTTAGCTGCAGCAACACGAGACGATAACTTGCTCTCGATGTAAGCAGCATAGGCTTTAGCTCCATGAAAAGCAGGCAGAGCGCTCAAGTCGGTATTTGCTGTTCTTTCACTGTTACTAGGGTCACGTGACGAGTCCTGTTTACTCAACGTAGACCTCGCTCGGGCATCGGCTTCACTCTTCAGCTTGGCGTCCTCAGTTGCATACGCTTTCTTCGAGTGAATAGGTGATGGTAGGATTGCGATCCAGCGTCAATAACAGCGTTGTTGCCCGACATGTGACCACCTAGGAAATGAGATAAAGCTGTCGGATCTCGTATTTGAATTTGAAGTTTGTAAGGCTACATGTATCTGCAGGATACATCAGATCATCCGATTCAGATGTATCAATAGATTATTTCCCCGTACCACGTCACATATTTCTTAAAACTGCGACCCTCGGTGGGAGAGAACCAAGAGCCATACCACCGACTCTCGTGGGCTGTCAGTTCGCCTTACGACCGTCTAGAGTGCAAGTTCCTTGACACTGTCTAGGCTTCTACAGTACCACTAACAACGTCAAAGTCGCCGCCCTCCTCACTTCACGTCTGCGAATCGGCGCTACCGTTTGTAGACAGGTGAGGGAAAGAAAGAACACATGCCCACCACTTTCGACCTGCTATGCCCAGTGACACACTGCCGATTTCACGTACAGTACGCTCTCAACTTGCTACTTACAGTCGATTTGGGTTTGCCGTGACTGAACAGGAGCTACCTGCACGAGCTAACGGTGGAGAGACTCGACGCGAGTCCTGTCCGTAACGCGGCGACGTGAGGTGAGCACCTTCACGCCCTATACGATGAAATACACACAAATGCGAGTGAAAAGCACACTAACGCCGTCTATCTGCACTGCCAAAGAGAATACGGTACCATGGCCTTGAAGGATACTTTTCCTGCCATGCAACAACGTCTCCACCGCTGGATTGGCGGCATTTTTCGCGGCCAGAGACGGAAATCAGGCAAAACGCTACGCTACTAGCTCGTGCCGAGTAGCGAAGTACCCCACCACATACCATTCACCACCCGAACCGGCCTACTGGGCGCGCTACGGCCACTTTGACGTCATTTTCTACAGTGCAACCGTGCCATGTTGCACAGGCCGAGGAGCGTTAATGCCTACAATGTCTACAACTGGCCCGCTGCATGACCATGAACGATGGCCTCGACCATTGAACCAGCGGATAGCGGCTCCGTCAAGCCGACACCACCGTGGATAATCACCGTAGAGGGTGTTGCGAGGCCAGCTGGAACATAATCGCCATTATTGTCCATAGTGAAGATGACCCGATTGTGGTATCCACATGCGCTCCATGGCATGTGAACGTGGTGATGGTGCGCTGGAGGTGTGCGTAGTTGAAAGGTGGTGTGATGATTTTACTGTAGAGTATGACTTTGCATGGATGGTCGACCGGATCGACCTTGCCGACCATAACATCAACGATTGTTGACTCGTTGCGAGACTGAAAATGGCCGTTAACACTGCGGGCACGGCCTCCACGTACGATGTGGAGGTCCGCGCAATGTCTACGCCGGCTCAACGCATTGCTAAGTGCATGGAGAGAAGGGGTCGCTGGATACGTTTGCACTGGATCTGGGGTTTAGTGGTGGAAGATATGGTACGAAAAGAATCTGTTCGGCGGGTTTTGAGGTCTAATTTGGTGCATATTTTTACTCCTTCGGAGATCTAGCATTTGGAAAATGGCGAAGGGGTGGGAAGTATGTGCAGCTACACGCCGGGCAAGCTGGATCCCGCGGCCTCGGCCAGTGGTGACCCCAGAGCACCGTTTGGAGGTCGATCGAGGGTACTGGCTGCTGTTGTTGAAGCGCATGGGTTCAATGAGCTGGGTGTTTTTCGAGCTGCGAAAAAAAACCGTTGTTGCGCATATGTCAGCTTGTTCACGCGGGGCTCCGAATGCGAGAGATAAGTATACACTCGTCTGCGTTTACGCCGTCTTGAGGCACCAGAGGGTAGGTATTCGTTCTGCGCTATTTGGCTCTTTGTGGCTCTTGTGGCTGTCGTGACAGGAGTGGGGTATCATGTTGTGGATAATGCGGAACAGCAGATTTCTTGTCGACACGGGTTTGCAGGATGCTCACGCGGGGCTCCGAATGCGAGAGATAGGTATACACGTCGTCTGCGCTTACACCAACTTGAGGAACCAGAAGGTGGGTATTTGTTCTGCGCTAGGTGGCTCTTTGTGGCTCTTGTGGCTGTCGGGACAGGAGTGGCGTCTAACGTTGTGGCTAATGCGGGACAGCAGGTTTCTTGTCGGCACAGGTTTGCAGGATCGGTAAACTGGAGGCGATTCAATGCGTTGAATGGCAAAGATGAAGCCGACGGATCGTTGCTATGGAGTACGACGGGGCACTCACATGGTATTCAAGTGTGGCGTGATGCTCCGATTGCTGCTACACTGTCGATTGCGAGACAGCCGTGGGGCTCGAGGAGTTTTAAACGCGCTGTGCTTTGGGTCGGATTGAGTGGTTCTACCAAAGATCAGGTTGTATTTCTTCGTGTTTTTGCCTTATTTGAGCTGACATTGTGGTACCTTTTTACTCAACAGAATGAAACGTGGTTTGTACAAGCTCTACGCTGATTCAGAGAACGTTTTCTTGCAGCTGAATAGCAATTCGAGTCGATTTTCCACGTCACGTTTTGCTTCTTCGAACTTGAAAGCCGAACAATAGCTCATGACTGCGATTTGTGGAGCGCTGATGGTGTGATGCAGTATTTGCTTCCTTACCATAGAGTGTGTGAAGTTTGGAAGTCTTAAAATCACTGCAACACTGAATTTAGTGCACTTGGTCACTTGGTAAACACAGAGCACCCCTCTACAAATTGCTTTTCAATCATACTTTGCAGTACATTGATCGTCTCATCCCAGTGACAACAAAAAAAGTTCAGCAAAAGTTTATAGTTTTTCAGCGTTTTGGTGCTAACACCTCTCATGTTGTTGCATGAATCTGCGGGTGCCGGTGTTACTAGCACCTGGTCAGCATTGGATTCATTCATATTCATGTCGAGATTAAAGTGCACGTTAGTATCGGAGCAAATTTTCAGAGTATAATGCTGCCCATCGCAAGATCAGCATTGTACGGTACTTGTAATATAGCGCCACTCCACTACAAACACAGGTGTGATGGCAATGAGATCTGCAACCTCCAGTTTCAAGACAAGAGACTCGAATCTATTGTATATGCTGAAGTTTACGTGCGCTCTTATCACTCTGAAGTCTAGCAGGTCAGAAGTGATCGCAGTGGCTACAGCGAGTGGAGAGGTGCATGTGCGTTGCAGCTCAAAACCGAAGGTCGTTGTCGGTTTTGAGCTCCAACGCACAAGCACCTCTCCACTCGATCTCTTTACCACAAACCTTTGACTTCGACAGCGTCTTGTCTTCCTGCTCGAACGATTCACTTTCGGTTTTGATTCCCACCGCACAAGCGACCTCGCCAACTCAAGCGCTGCACTCAAGATAACCATTAGCCTCCATCAGCACATTCCCACTCTATCGAGCAAGACTCTGTATTAACCGCTCTGGATCCTACTCGTCGCCAAGCTCTACCCTCGAGGCGCATACACTTTTCCATCTTTGCCGCGCAGCAGTCCAATCTCCTGCTTGAGCGCTTCAACTTCTCTGGCCTGCAGCTTCACCAGCCGCACGAGCTTGTTGCGCTCCTTCATCTCGCGCTCAGCCAAGGCCTCGTCGTCGTCAAGACTGAGTACACCGCCACTGTCCCCACTGCTACTGCCACCACCCTGATGGCGATTGAGTTCGCTTTCCAGTTCGGCCTGACGCTCCGTGAGTGCAGCGATCTGAGCTAACAAGGCCGTGTTCTGCTCGGTCGCCTGCAGAATAGCGTGTTGCAGCTGCAGGTGCGTCTGCTTGGCACGACGCAGAGCTCGCTCACCTTCGACCTCGCGTAACTTGACGCGAGTCTGCAGCTCGTCGACCGAAGACGCGTCACAAGCGCGATCCAGCACCTCCAGGTCCACTAGCTGTCCGAATTTCAGTCGCATGAGCTGCTCGCTGCGGTCCTGAGCTCTTGCAATGGCTTCTTGCTGTTGACGCTTCTCCTTAGCAAGCACGTTCTGCTGCTTGTGGAGGTCTCGGAACTGTTGACGCAGCTTCTTGTTCTCTGCTTGCAGCGACTCGATACGCTCGGACAACGCAGAGAAGGCGCGAGTGGTGAACACGAGGCAGCCAGCAGCTTGAGCAGGTAGCGTCCAGTTGTGCCGAGTCGGAGACGGAGCTTCAAGACAACATAGTTGCCGCGTACTGAGCGGCACTACGACGTCCAGCTGGTTGAAGCGCGACTGCTTTTCACTCTGGAACTGCTGCGTATCCTGCTCCGTCGCAGCCAGCTCCTTGTCGATCGCACGTTGCTTGGCTGTCTGACGCTCTCCGGCCTTCCGAAGCTCTTCGATCGCCTTGTTCAGCTCCCCCATGGCGTCGTCTACATCGACACGCTTCTCACGCAGGGCCAACACCTTCTCGTACAAAGTCAAGTCGCATCCCGACGGACAAGTATCCTCTTCTTCTTCGTCATCGTCGTCGTCATCTTCGTCATAGTCTTCGTCCTCGTCCTCTTCTTCTTCATCGTCGTCTTCTTGCTCCTCGCCGTCTCTCGCTCTGTCAGGCTCTTTCCCTTCTTCCTTGCCACCTGAAGCGGGTTTCTTCTTAGCTCGCTTGATCTTGCGCTTAAACAGCTTCTGCAGCGCCGCAAAGCTCGGGTGAGGTGTCACACTTGACCCCGTGCCGCCGTTCACAAGCGTCAGGAACTCTGCTTGCACAGCCTTCTCCTGTCGCGCCCATTCATCCAGATCGCGTTTCTTGATCGTCAGCAGGTCTTGGACATCGCGCAGGTCCGCCACAATCTGCGCCTTTTCCCCTTTACTCTTCTCGAGTTTACTGCTCAACAGGTTTTCCTTGCTCTCGAACGACTCAAGCAGCGACAACTCGCTAAGGAGAGTGAACAGCCGAAGTTCCGCTTGCTTGAAGCCGACCTCGAGAGCGAGTTTCTCGCGACGGAGGTGAGCCACAGCAGCGTCAAACGACGCTATCTCGCGTTGCTGCTTGCGCTCGAGCAGTAGCGCTTCTTGGCGCATCAAGTATTCATGGATAACCACGTCATCCTCGTCCATGTTTCCTACATTTAGAGCACCCGCGTGTGCAGACGAAGCCGTCGCAGCAGCTGCCGTACCGTCGTCCATCTGCAGATGTAAACGGCCAATGGT